TGCCTTTCATCATCAATTCCCTTTTAATCCCATCAAAGACCAACTCAAATTTGAATAATTACAGCACTTAGATTTAGTGTGAGAGGAGAATTGAAGTTCAAGTCTCATATTAAGCAAATTAGGCTTCTCATTTGACATTAATAATAACATTGCTTATTTCCTAGAAATACAATAGACTATTAAGTAGTAAGTGCAGATCTCATACTTCTGTGGCAGATAGATAGAATAATCTCTTTAGAAATATTTGGTTTTTCTAAAATGTGGTGCTTTACTTTGGTTTTGGACTCTAGTAAGTGGACTAAAAAAAAGTGACTTTGTTTTTAAATTAAATTTTTATTTTTATAGATCTAGGGGGTACAAGTGCAGCTTTCTTACATGCATATATTTCATAGCGGTGAAGTCTAAGCTTTTAGTATACCCATCACCCCAGTAGTGATATGGTACCCAATAGGCAATTTTTCAGCCCTCACCCTGCTCCCACCTTCCTACCTTTCGGAGGCTCCAGTGTCTGTTATTTCATTCTGTATGTCCATGTGTACCCCTTGTTTAGCGCCCACTTATGAGTGATAACATGTGGTATTTTACTTTCTGTTTCTGAGTTAATTCATTTAGGATAATGGCCTCCAGTTCCATTCATATTCCTGCAAAAGACATGTTTTCATTCTTTTTATGGTATTCCATGGTACATAGATACCACATTTTCTTTACTCGATCCTTCGTTGAGGACACTTAGGCTGATTCCACATTTTTGTTATTGTGAATAGTTCTGTAATAAAATATGAGTGCAAGTATCTTTTTAATATAATTTTTTTTTCCCTTTGGGAACATACCAAGTAGTAGAATTGCTGGATCAAATAGTAATTCTATTTTTAGTTCTTTGAGAAATCTCCATACTGTTTTCCATAAAGGTTGAACTAATTTACATTCCCACCAACAGTGTATAAGCATTCCCTTCATTCCTTTTCTCCACATCCTTGCCAATATCTGTTGTTTTTTTCTTTATTTTTTACTTTTTTTTTTGGAAACAGTGTCTCCCTCTGTCATCCAGGCTGGAGTATGGTGGCGCGATCATAACTGTCTGCAGCCTCAAACTCTTGGGCTCAAGCAATCCTCCCAGGATCATCGCAGCCTCCTGAGTAGCTGGGACTACAGGCATGTGGTCTTAATTTGCATTTCTCTAATAATTAAGGAAACATTGACTTTGAAGAGTTTTTTTTATCCTCTAGTAAAATGTTATTTGAAAAGACAATGCTTATAGGTATAATTTTGTATTGTTGGTCATATAAGAATTGATTAGCCACTTGAACTCTCAAAGTACGAAGTGAGAAAGTCAGTCTTTTAAATATGGAAGTTATTTTTTGAATGATGTCTGAGACCCCTTTTAATGGCATGGGAACTTAAATGTATGTTGTGTATGTGTGCATGCAAGCACGTGTGTCAGGATGGGTTTCACATCTGAACTTTGCCATCCAAATATGCTTACACATATCCTCATGGTATTGTTGTTCATGGGTGATGAACAATGTGGATACTTTGTAGCTTCTTTTTTACTTTTTAAAAAATAGTCTTATTGGCTGGGTGTGGTGGCTCACACCTGTAATCCAAGCACTCTGAGAGGCCAAGGCGGGCACATCACGAGGTCAAGAGATCAAGATCACCCTGGCCAACACGGTGAAACCCCGTCTCTACTAAAAATACAAAAATTAGCTGGGCTTGGTGGTGCATGCCTGTAGTCCCAGCTACTCAGGAGGCTGAGGCAGGAGAATCACTTGTACCCAGGAGGCAGAGGTTGCAGTGAGCCGGGATCGTGCCACTGCACTCTGGCTTAGCAACAGAGCGAGATTCAGTCTCAAAAAAAAAAAAAAAAATAGTCGTAGTCTTATTACATGCTATGATTGGTACTTACGTCCGGATAGCTCAAGCTCTACTATTGTAATTAATCCTGAAATCTAAGTGATTTAAAATCACAAGGAGGCCGGGCACAGTGGCTCACACCTCTAATGCCAACACTTTGAGAGGCTGAGGCAGGTGAATCACCTGAGGTCAGGAGTTCAAGACCAGCCTGGCCAATGTGGCCATACCCCATCTCTACTAAATAATACAAAAATTAGCCCGGCTTGGTGGTAGGTGCCTGTAATCCAAGCTACTTTGGAGGCTGAGGCAGGAGAATCACTTGAACCTGGGAGGCAGAGGTTGCAGTGAGCCAAGATCACACCGTTGCACTCCGGCCTGGCCGACAGAGCAAGACTCCGTCTCAAAAAAAAAAAAAAAAAAAATCACAAGGTGTTTGTTTCCTATCATAGTCTTAGTGGGTCAGTCATCTCTCTTCCGTGGCTCTCCTTCAAGCAGTGACTTAAATTTCTAGGCTCCTTCTATCTGTAAGGTCACCATCCTAAAACTATGACCTTTGGGTCACTGTGGAAGGGGAAGAAAATTGAGGCAATCGCACAGTGGTGGAAGGGGGAAGGGAACGTTTTATGGCAGGCCTGGAAATAGCATATATTATTCCACATCCTATTGTCCAGGATTCAGTGACATTCCCCTAATGCAGTTGCACACGAGGCTGGGAAATGTAGAAATCTGGTATACCTAAGGAAAATGAAATGGAGTTTGGGGAACACATAGCATTGTCTCTGCCTCAGTTGAAAGGCAACTTCTTGGACAGAAAAGTGAAGAGGTACAAACTACAACTATGTTGTGACTAGCTACAGTTTCATACAAAATGTAAAATGTCCCTAATTCAGTATGTACTCTCCCTCTTCTACATAAGGAATTATTAGGGCTTAGCAGCTTCCAGATTGCAGTAGATCTAGTCTTAGAGCCAGTGGTCAAAGGAGAATGGGATTACTAAATTGTCTTCATATTCCCATAATTGAATGGCACCCAGGTACTACTTCTATGGGTTCTTAATGTTTTACCTTTATCTTCAAGAATTCGTAGATCATCTTCCTGTATCCTCAGTGCATGTTAAGATTACTAAACTTGGCCAGGCACGGTAGCTCATGTCTATAATCCCAGCACTTTGGGAGGCCAAGGTGGGTGGATCACTTGAGGCCAGAAGTTCAAGACCAGCTTTGCCAAAATGGTGAAACTCCATCTCTATTAGAAGACCCAATCCAAAAAAATATTTGCTGGGCCTGGTGACTCCCACCTGTAATCCCAGCTACTCGGGAGGTCAAGGCATAAGAATCACTTGGGGGGCTGGAGCGATGGCCTGGGTCTGGAGCCCGCTGTGTCCCCAAGGCCCAGACAGCGGGTCGGGGGTCTAGTAGGCGTGGGACTGGCTTCTCTCAGGCCGACCCTTCGAGCCAGGCTCCAGATCTTCCTCGGCCTCGGGCCTCCTTCATGTTCAGGATGGAGGCCAGAGAACAGTGATCATCACACACCCCATCCGGCTTCCTGGGCCGGGCATTTTCTCTGCGGCCAAGCGGTGTTGGGATTGTAGCTGCTGGGAGCCCCCTCCTGCCGCCACCTGTCCTGCAGGAAGGGACTGACACGTTCCCACATTCTTGCTCTGCACCTCCCCACTCTCTTCCCATTCAGGAACAAGTTTCTCTTCCTTCCCCATTGGAAATCCTCCCCCGGAGGTCCAAAACACCTATTTTAAGTGTGCCCTTCCTCAGCTCCTGGAGCACCCTTAGAAGTATTGCCTACTTATCCGGGCTGAGAATCCTTCATTTTTGAGTTGGCTTTTTTTTCACCCTTTGGAAGATAAAAGTCCCTTTCCACCCTCTACTAACACTCTGCACCCAAGGCCTTATCCTTTGGGGTCACCAGCTTCTTGGCCATTTCTATGTGATTTCCCCCACCCATCTGAGTTCCAGTTTCCTCTGGGCTCCAATCTCCAGTCCCTGGCGGATCTGGTCAGTCCCACCCCTAGGTGGGAGTGACCAGG